ACCCGCCTGGGCAGCGAGACCTCATCTCTACAATAAATCAAAAAATCAGCCGGGCGTGGTAGCGCATGCCTGTAATTCCGGCTACTTGGAAGGCTGAGGCGGAAGGATCGCTGGAGCCCAGCAGGTCGAGGCTGCGGTGGCCGGTAGCGGCCCCTGCACTCCAGTCTGGGCGACGAGTGAGACTCCAACTCAAAAAAAAAAAAAGACTGGAAGAAGGGAAACTAGTTAGAAAGACTCTAACTATAATCCAAGCATGCCAGAGGAATGTTTATGTTTGACAAAAAATAACAAGTAAAAAATAAGTAGAACTTGGTAATTGTTTGAAACTGGTGGGTGTTGAGGGAGGTGCAGTCTAGGATTAAACACCCATGGGAGGCACACATGCCTGTTGTTTGGGAATATCCAGTTCTGCTATAGATGAAGGGAAAACATGGGATAGAGGGAACTCACAAGAAGTATCACACATAGATAACTAAGTTAGTAATCTGTTAGATAAGTAAATAGAACATATCTGTGTGAACAGAGATAGAAAGACCCAGTAGGCACTAAATATCCACAATACCTGCTGGGCGAAGTGGTTCACGCCTATAATCCTAGCACTTTGGGAGGCAGAGGCAAGAGGATTGCCTGAGTCCAGCCTGGGCAACTTGGCTAGATCTCATCTCTACAATAAATCATAATATATATATATATATATATTAGCTGGGCACGGTGGCATGTGCCTGTAGTGCTAGCTACTTGGAAAGATCACATGAGCCCAGCAGATCAAGGCTGCTGTGGCCGTAAGCGTGCCACTGCACTCCAGCCTGGGTGACTGTGTGAGACTCTGACTCAAAAACAAAAACCCCTAAATACATGAGACATGAGGCACTCAGTATTCATGAAGTCTCAGTTTGACAGGTCAGATGCATACTGCATAACCCACAATTCCGGTTGGGCAGCCCTTCCACCCAAACTTGCATCCTATCCTAAGTATGTTAACCTACCCCAGTGCTTTTCTCTTGCTTCTCACGGTGTGTTTTACAAGTATTTAATAAACCATGTTATTTTATTTTATTTTTATTTTTATTTTTTTTGAGTTGGAGTCTCACTCTGTCGCCCAGACTGGAATGCAGTGGCCGCTCCCGGCCACCGCAGCCTCGACCTGCTGGGCTCCGGCGATCCTTCCGCCTCAGCCTTCCAAGTAGCCGGAATTACAGGCACGCGCTACCACGCCCGGCTAATCTTTTGATTTTATTGTAGAGATGAGGTCTTGCCTGCCCAGGCGGTCTCGAACGCGTGGGCTCAGGCAATCCACTCACCTCAGCCTCCCAAAAGCACGGGATTACAGGCTGAGCCACTGAGCCCGGCTCATGTTATTTTATTTTATTTTACTTTTTGTTTATTTTATTTTTAGAAATGAAGTGTTGACCAGGCTCAATGGGAGGCCAAGGCGAGTGGATTGCCTGAGCCCATGGATTCAAGATCAGCCCGGGATACTTGGCAAGACCTCGTCACTACAATAAATCAAAAATTAGCCGGGCATGGTAGTGCATGCCTGTAGTTTCAGGTACTTGGAAGGCTGAGGCAGAACAATCACCACAACCCAGCAGGTCGAGACTGCGGTGGCTGGGAGCATGCCACTGCACTCCAGCCTGGGTGACAGAGTGAGACTCCAACTCAAAAAAAAGAAAAATAAGGTGTTGTTATGTTCCCCAGGCTAGTTTTGAACTTCTGGGCTCAAGCAGTCCTCCCACCTCGGCCTCCCATAGTGCTGGAATTATAGGTGTGAGCCACTGAACCTGGCCATAAATCATGTTATTTGAACATCTCAGTTTTGTCTGTGAACCTTTTTGCTCCATGACTTCTGGGATTGCTTCATGGTACTGTACTGGGAGGCTACCATGACATCAGTTATTGCCCACACCACAACCAAGATCCAGCTTAAGTAAGCAGACAGGTGAAACAGTGATGCCACCTACTAGGAATATAGAATGAGGGGCAAGTGGTTCCATGGCAAGGGCTAAGAGGAAATGTTCAGTTTTGGATGTATTGCATTTGAGATGATATGGAACCTTAGATCATTATGGCCTAGAGGTAGTTGAATATATTGATGTGAAATGCAGGGATTTAGAGATCTGGGAGTCATGACTTTAAAACAGTGAGCCTGTGGGGAAACAAGAGTTTCTCTTCCCATTTTTCACTCCACATTCCCATTACCTACTCCTTTGGTGCCCTCAAAAACAGCCACATAGCCTCATCTTCTCATGGGCACCTTGCTATCATCTCTCAGACAAGACTTCTGTTAGACTTAACCCTTTCCCACCATTTTTTTTCCCCTTAGCAACCCATTCTCTGCGCTATGACTTCGTTGCCCTTTCCCATCCCCACCCTGGGCAAGCCCCTTATGAAGTCTCAGGCTACCTGGATGACCAGCTATTCTTATGGTGCTGCAAGGAGGGCAGGTGGGCAGAGCCTCGGGCATCCTGGTCTCAGGCCAGGGACTCAAGAGCTTGGGAGAAGCTGATTCTCAGACTGAAGGCCAGAGCGCAGCACCTTGTCATCATCCTGAGAAGTATCATGTCGCAGAACAACCAGAGCCAAGGTGATTGGGGTTGGGGACTAGGGTGGACGCTGGGAAGGAGCAGAGGAGTACAATACAGGCCTAAAGATGTGCAGCTGCACTCATCATTGTTTGACTAAGATTTATTAAGGTCTCTGTAAGGACACAACCCCCCTTTACTGAGATCCTGATTATTATCCCTTCCTCCTGCCTGGGGGATTTAATCCCTGACTCAAACCCTGTTTTATGTTTGTGGTGCCAAAAAGACAGGATCTTGGGTATTGGAAAGGAAAGGACATACCTCCACCCTTTTCCCCAGTCAAGGAATGGGCCTCTAAGCTATGAGCCATTGTCCTTAAGCTCTCCAACCTTCCATTTAGATGAAAGAAAAAAAAAAAAACTTTCTAAAACAGTCTCCCTCTTTCACCCAACCTGTAGTGCAGTGGTGTGATCATAGCTCACTGCAGCCTTGAATACCTGGGCTCAAGTGATCCTCCTGCCTCAGCCTCTATAGTAGCTGGGACTACAGGCATGCACCACCACACCCAGCTAATTTGTCAGGCAAGAAGAATCTTATCTAGCTGCTTCAAATCCAGAAACTAGGACATAACTGGCCTTGTACAGACATACCCACCTCCTAACCCCACCAATAGTTATAGGATCCCTTAAGAACTGGTCAGGGTCCTCAACAAAGTATATTTCTTTTTTTTCTCCCCCTGAGTTGGGGTCTCACTCTGTCACTCAAGTGGTAGTGCAGTAGCACAATCAAGATGATCACAATTCACCGCAGCCTAGAGCTCCTGGGCTCAGGTGATGCTTCCACCTCAGCAACCCAAGTAGATGGGACTACAGGCATTTGCCACCACTTCTGGCTAATTTTTTTATTTTTGTAGAGATGAAGTCTTGCTGTGTTGCCTAAGCTGGTCTAGAACTCCTGGGCTCAAGCAATCTTCCTGCCTTGGTCTCCCAAAGTGCTGGGATTACAAGCATGAGCTACCACACTTGGTCTGTGTAAAGTATATTTCTTTTTTTTTTTTGAGTCGGAGTCTCACTCTGTCACCCAGACTGGAGTGCAGTGGTCGCTCCCGGCCACCGCAGCCTCGATCTGCTGGGCTCCGG